TCAAACAAATGCGTTTCGATGTTGTCTTTGCAGCGGTCAGAGGAACTCGATTGCCTTCTTGGAGGGATCCTCCAGTCGGGCCACTTTGTCCGATAACAACTTCCGGAGAAACATGTCAGAAGCGTCTAACTCAAAACGTAAACAATGAATGGATCGTCGGTTTCTTACGAATGACAACACACCCACTCAAACTAAATCATCTGACAGAGCAATGTTTGTTCTATGAGCTGGCGAGTTAGATTCCGTGGGTGTGTGGTCATTCAAGAGAAATCGACGTTGAAAGTCATTGTTTACGTTTCGAGTTATACCCTTCAGACATGTTTCCCCTGACTTGTACAGTTGATCAATTTAGATGGTTAAGTTTTAAACCCACCACAGAATGCTTTGCTACTACTGTATATGAACGATCAAATGGAAAATACTGTGGTAGCCACAGCATAGTTCTGTCAAAACCTCAGCATTTTCATTGATCCATTCAATTGACTAAGAGCGTTTTCTTTCCATATACAAAATTTACTCATATTTGGTAAAACCTGCAGTTACTCATTAGCTATGAGTAACTACAGGCTTTTCCAAATATGAGTAAATTTCGTATGTGAAGAAAACGCTCTGAACCAATTGAATTCAGTCGATGAGTTATTCTGGTTGGTCGTGTGGATCATCATCTTGGTTCGGATCAGAGTTGAAAAAATCAACAGCATAGACCTTTTTGACGTTTAATCATCTTTCTCTATCTAGCACACATGGATGAATGGATGGTTTGTTTTCCCACTAATCTGTTTCTCTCTTGCTCGCACTCGTTCGTTTTCAATGGTACAGTAGTGTGCGCCGATCAAACATCAAAAAGCTCTATTCACTATAGAGATTGCTGACGTTTATCGTACACACACTACGTCACGTATACGTATACACAAAATGTTTTCATCGGGAAAAAAAAACTTGGTAGCGGAAAATTTTCCCGATGAAAACAAATCACTGACACAATCATACTTTAGCAATCTCTATTAAATGAATGTTTCATCCGTAGTGAACTTTGATGAATTTTAGTGATTTTTTCAGCTTTGTCGGATTCCACTTGTCGTTCTGCCCCTTTAAAATAAAACATTCGAACTGTCTAAATACCGGGTTGCCAACTATGGCATCATTCCTGAACCTTAGACATGATATCTGAAGATCACTAGATTAAACTTGAAGTTCTCAAAATTCGGAGAACTACTCCGAAATTTTTGACGTTCTAAGAAGCAGGGTTACTTCCACTCACTTGCTATAAAAAATGTTTTTCGAAATTATGAAATCACGAAAGAGTATAATGCTAATTAGTGCTTGTAAGTTACAAGAAGAGGTCATGAAGAATATGTTTGACACATAAAATCTGTCAATATTGCTTCCAGTGCGTCACAATCAGCGATTTTATGCAAAAACAAGTTCAGAGAACTTCCGTGGAGATGTTCATAAAACTTCCGAGGAGATGTTCACAGAACTTCCGATAAGAAGTCTAAAGGACATCTAAGGAGAAGTTTAGAAAACTGTCAAGGAGAGGTTCAGAAAAATTCCGAGGAGAAGATCGGAGAACTTCCGGCGAGAAGTGCAAAGGGATTCTGACGAAAAATTCAGAGAACTTCCCATGAGAACTTCACACAATCTCCGACGAGAAGTTCAGAGAACTTCCGAGGAGAAACTTCCTACTAGAAATTCACAGTACTTCCAACGAGAAGCTCTCCCAGAAAAGCAGCATACTCAGGCTGTGTCCCGATTGCCGGGTTAAATTTAACTCGTGGTTAAGAGCACAGACAAACAGACATAACATATTGAATATTTCTCACTGTAAAACATCGTCGCTAAAACATTACCGCCATCTGTTGAGTACACTGTGGTGGGCACTACACTGAACAGATGGCGGTAGTGTGTAAACGTCAAACGCAAGGGAATTGACTATGCGCGCCACAGGTGGTGGTACTACCAGCTACAATACTTTTAAATTGTCCGTTAAATGCTTGTCCGAGGAACAACTTGCGAGTGTTATGTCTGTTTGTCTGTGATAAGAGTGACATTTTGAAAGTTATTTTCAATGTTCGAAAATCTCGGTGTTATCGAACGATCGGTTGTCAAACAGGACAAACTCAACCACGGTTGTCAAAATTTAACCTCTAACATAGAGGTAACTCTAAGACAAGAAGGTCCCGAAGAAACGTGCTCAACTTTTTGGCTCAGCTCTCTTCGGTCCCAAGCTAATCGATTCACCCCTCGAAACATAAGAAAATCCACGAGCCCCTCATTTTATCTGTCAAACTTTCATAGCGAATCAAAACAAACATAGTGTAGTACTAGAATTTCGAATAAAATGGGAAATGTTAATCGTTTTGCTTGGGACCAATAGGCTAGTCAAGCAGTGAGCCAATTTAAAATCGTTAGTTTGCACCGGTTGCTTCTAGTCTAGTGGGTACGAAAGAAATCCCGTTGGCTTCGTAACACTCCAGGACAACATTTGAATAGTGGCACGAAGCTAGATCCGGCCAGAAGATCGTAAGGCCCTCGTGTTGCTTCAACAGAGGAAGCAGACGCTTCTGTAGACACTCCTCGAGATAGAACTCCCCGTTTACAGTACCGGTAGATCGCTTGCCAAATCATGTGTTTCTTGGCAAACTTTGAAAGTTTCTGCTTCCTTACTTCCTCCGGAACATCAAACTTGTGCTGGGCAGTGAAGAACAGTAGCCCCGGAAGCTGCCGGAATTCCGCCTTGACGTAAGTCTCATCATCCATGATGAGACAATGAGGCTTCGTCAGCATCTGGGTGTACAGTTTCCGGGCCCGTGACTTTCCCACCGTATATTGCCGTTCGTCACGATTTGGAGCCTTCTGCACATTGTACTTATGCAGTCCCTCCCGGTTCTTGGCTCTCTGAACGAAAGACTTGGACAGATTCAACTTTTTGGCCACATCCCTGACCGAAGCATTGAGATTCCGCTTAAACGCTTTCACGACACGCTTGTGATCCTGATCACTAAAAGAACATCCATTCTGACCGCATTTCTCCTTCCGTTCGATGCTCAGAGTTTCTTAGTAACGTTTAATCCGAGGGGGGCGACACATCTAAATTTCAATTCTAGATACTTAACAAATCTCACACTAGCGAATCAATCTTCGAAAAATCTTCTTTAATTTCTCGCATCTACTTGTATCGCGCATCATATTTTTGCAGGAAATCTTTAGAATCGTCATCAATATTCTTTCTATCTAATCATCGTGCACGCAGCTAACCACAGCAAAACACAATTTTTCCTACATCGTAGATAGAGTCGCCCCCCTCGGTTTAATCACACGACTCACCGTTGACTGCAGGATTCCGAGTTGTTTTCCGATGTCCCGATGAGATAGTTGAGGATTTTACAGGTGCTTGCGGAAAATCAATTCGCAACGTTGCTTTTCGGGTGACGCCATTTTTTCCAATTTTCGAAAAACTGACAGCGATAAAAATACAGTGTAAACAATACACTCTAAACTACGCCTACCTAAATTTAAAAGTGAAAATACCCAATGGGTAATTTTCTACAGGGTTTTTTTCCGTGATGCAATTTGATGTAGGACACCCTTTAGTACAGGGTGATTTGGAATAACTGTCACTTTCAAATCTGGTCATAACGATTGAACGCTTGCATGTTTTTTTGATATCAGTATATTCCCGATATACTACATACATAACATTCAACTTGGCCTACTTTAATTCAAATCTCTCTCTCTCTCGCTCTCTCTTTACCTTTAATTACCAGCCACATTTGTCACAAAAATGAACCACAGCTGTAGCTGGCACGTACGTTTTAGCACCGACAAACCGACATGATATGACATTTTTGACACATAATTCTGACTTATTACCGAAAATCGTAAACAGCCGATTTAAATGTGCAGTGATCCATATTTTTGATCTAGATAAAAAATAATTTGTCCAGAATAGATCAGACACGAACCAATTCATAACTTTTGCATGCGGGTTCATGGCTTAGTTAAATTTTTCCCGCGAACACGGAGCCAGATGTCAGTAGCGTGCTTTGGTCAGAAATTTAATGAAACATAAACTTAACTCTTGATCGAGAATCCATAACGGCGGATTCAAATGTGCAGCGATCCCATCTGTCAAAACCATAGAAATTTGTTATCTAGATAAAAATAATTTGCCCGGAATAGATTAGACACGAACCAACTCATACAGTTTGTATGCGTGTTCGTGGCTAGGATACACAATTTTCGCGAACACGGCAGTAGATGTCAGTTTTGTGCTTTTATCAAAATTTTTGATGATACTTTGTATGATCATTCATGTCGGTTTGTCGGTGGTTTTAATTCCAGCACTTTTGGAGTCCTGGCGATAAGCTAATAAGCTATAAGCTCTGATATTGAACGGATTCTCCACGCATGGTTCCTTTTTACCTCTATAATGATGCGAAAAATAAGTGTTTCATTCTTTCGAAGAGATTTCAGTTTCTAAAAAATAACACACGAATTTATACAGATTTATGACATGCTCCATTTTCAAGTCCATGGTGGCTTGAAATCGAAAACGAATTAAATTTCAAATCCTATTTACTGTCGAGACAAGCTGATATTTGTACAAACTGTAAAACAAAAATACTTGAACATATACCCATTTTACCCATTGAGAATGACATATTTCTAGATATAGCTGGAATTAGGGTGTAACAGCTTTTGTAAACAATGACTTCTCTCGATGATTTCTAGAAACTTAAGGCTCGCCCAAGCAAATCAATATCACCATTAGGTAGGGGAAGTCTTGCCCTACCCGATGTTTATGTTGGTTTGCGTGGGCGCGCCTTGAATTCCTATAAATCATCGAGAGAAGTCATTGTTTAAAAAAGTTGTTAGGCTCTAATTCCAGCTCTATCTATATTTGTAAAATCGGCGACCTTGTTCTTCTTAAGCCATACTCAAATCCGACGCATAATACTGATTCGATTTCCTTCCTGTTTCTCCCTCCCCACCCGCAGCTTGAATGTTAAAACAAACTCAAAATTGCTTACGTTCGGGAGAAGCACGGCTCATCTGCAAGGTCCTCCTCGTCCTCAGAAGAAGACCTCAATGAACGACGAGCAACGGTACCGAGCACGAGCAGCAGCACGAGCCAGCATCAATCGACCAGCCTTCCTCATCCGCAGCGTCCGCACCACTCCCACCAATCGAAGCGTCTGCGTCCCTCAACTTCATACAATTCCTCATCGTCCACATCCTCGCCATCATCCGCTGCTGTAGACCAGCAGCTCCGGCATCGTAGCACAGGTGCTGGACCCGATTCGGAAGTGGATCAAAAAGAGGAAAAACTGAGCCGGCGGCAGCGACACCGAGAGCACCGAGAGGACCAGGAAAAGGACAAATCCCAACAGCAGCAGCGTAGAAAGTCCCAGCGACGTAGGAAGCAGTCTCCGGCAGCGGACGAGCCTAGCAAGTCCCGTTCAGGGGACGACAAGGGGGAAGGGCTCGAGGACAAAGAGGAGGGATCCTTTGCCAGTCCGCAGAGCAAACGGCGAAGAATGTTGAACGAGAACAACAATCTCAACGGGACGCTGCCCACAGCCGCCCCAATGGATTCGACCTCGTGCGATATGAACGGCCACAATACCAACAACAACGGCCAACAGGATGGTGAGACCAGCACTGACGTTGTTGCCACAAATGGCGAATCCTCTGCCCACCGAAAGGTAGTGAAACTCGACAAGACTAATCAGGAGATTGTCCGACTGATTGGACAACACTTGAAGAACATTGGACTGGAAAGAAGCGCCGAGGCTTTGATGCAGGAATCGGGATGCTGCCTGGAGCACCCGTCTGCAACGAAATTCCGCCGTCATGTCCTGTCCGGAGACTGGACCAAAGCTGACCACGACCTGCACGAGCTGCAGACCATGGTTGACCCGAAGACCGATCGTGCCGGTATGAACGAGATGAAGTTCTTGCTGTTGGAACAAAAGTATTTGGAGTTCCTCGAGGAGGGTCGTCCCATCGATGCTTTGCATGTGCTCCGCAACGAGCTAACCCCGTTGCAACACAATACACCCCGTGTTCATCAGCTGTCGTCGTACATGATGTGTACCAACAATCAGGTGAGTGGTTCAGAATGAGCAAAATCCGACTAACTTTTAAACAAAATTCTATTCTTTCCAGGAACTCTACCAACGCGCTAGCTGGGAGGGCAAGGGCGTAAAGTCACGCACCCGACTGATGGATCGTCTTCAGTCGTACCTACCGGCCACGGTCATGTTGCCACCTCGGCGCCTACGCACCCTGCTGGCTCAGTCGGTGGAGATGCAAACCGAACGCTGCCAATGTCACGATATGGCCTGGAGTACCAACATCGACAATGTCTCGCTGCTGGTCGACCACAATTGCTCCTCCGAGGGCTTCCCGATGCAGGCACTGCATGTGCTGAATGACCACTCGGATGAGGTATGGTTCTGTAAGTTCTCACCCAACGGCCTACGGTTGGCGACGGGATCCAAGGACAATACCGTTATCGTTTGGGAAGTGGATCCGGTCAAGTTGGTCCTGAAGAACAAACGAACCTTTGACGGGCACACCTACGGTGTGTCGTTCATTGCCTGGAGTCCAGATTCCAAGTACTTTATCGTATGCGGTCCGGAGGATTGTCCGGATCTTTGGATCTGGGACGTTGAACAGGAGAAGCTTATCACAAAAGTGTCCCATTCTACCGACGATAGTTTGACCTGTGCCGCTTTCAACAAGGACGGCACCCGTTTCGTGACCGGTGGAACTCGCGGTCAGTTCTACCTGGTAGACTTGGATGGCACGGTTCACGACAATTGGGAAGGAGTTCGCGTGAATGGGTTGGCGTTCCGTGCAGATAACAAGACAATTCTGGCTGCAGACACCCACTACCGAATACGGGGCTACAGTTTCGACAATCCCCGAACCGACTACAACCTTGTCCAGGAGCAGTGCCCCATTATGACGTTCTCGGTCAACTCGGCCGATCGGCTAGCCCTGCTGAACATCTCCTCCCAAGGACTGCATTTATGGGATCTCCAGGACAAGTGTCTCGTGCGTCGTTTCCAGGGTGTAACCCAGGGCAACTATACGATCTATTCCTGCTTTGGCGGTGTGAACGAAAGTTTCGTGGCCAGCGGTAGCGAAGACAACAAGGTTTACATCTGGCACATCCGCCGGGAGGAACCGCTGGCAACGCTGGTAGGCCACACCCGAACCGTCAACTGCGTCAGTTGGAACCCGGTCTATCCGTCCCTGTTGGCGTCCGCTTCGGATGACGGAACGGTGCGGATCTGGGGACCGAAGCAGCCTCAGCTGGCCTGGGCCGCCAGCAGTAACAACGGCGATAGTGCGTCGATCGCATCCACTAGCTCCACGGCATCGTCCTCGTCGACGTCATCAACGGCGTCGTCCGGGACGAATAACGATCTTATATCGAACTCTTCATGGAATATCACATAATATTAGGTGAGTGGATGGTTTTTCTTTGCTTTCTTTCTATTTTCTTTTCTTATGTTTCGCTGACTTCTCTGCGGATGAGAACGATCCAAATTTGAGTTTAGCTTACTCATAAATCACATAAAGGGGGGCTTTTTACGGATGTCACATCACGGTGAAAATTTGTCACTTGTCGTCACGGTGAAGTGTGATTCCCATTTGATTTTTACGGCGCTTATTCTGAGTATCACTTCCTTATCACCGTGTAGTGACACCCGTAATAAAGCCCAAAGTGCAGGAACTCAGCGATGAGGAAATTTGCCTCATGTTTTTCCAGGAAAAAATTCCCGAATATGAGAAAAGTAAAGATTGGATTCACTCAGTCTATTGGTACTACTCCTAGGCTGAGTGGAATTTTCGTCAATTTTCCTCATTTTCCGGCAGATGGTGATCATTTGATACCGTCGAAGGGGGCTACTTTGGACACATTTAAATTAGTTGAACCTACTTCTTCTTTTTGAACCTACTTTATGCTTATCGCATATTAGCTTATTGCATGCTCTCAATCTCAAATTAGTGTTCTACACTTCCACAGTTATAAGTTGAGAGCTTTCTATGCCAAAACCAATGCCTGAATTTATATATTGTGTTGTATGCATAATGATACTCCATGCCCAGGGAAGTCGAGAAAATTTCCAACCCGGAAGATTCCCTCGACCGGACCGGGGAATCGAACCCTGTTTACATTTCCGACTGCGGTTTGATGGCTATATGGCGAACATTTTCTACAATCATTCTTGGTCGTTCGTATGCTTCTCATTTTGCATCACATAATTATCCCTTTTGGATGTACGTGGTGTTATTTACTTTATTTATTTTAAAGTTCGCTTACCCGAAAAAAAAAACATGCCAAAAGAAGCCCCGTCCGACGGTAGTGTTATTGTTTAGAGAGTTTATTTTCTCCTAACACGAGTAGGTTCTCTTATCAATGGTTTTGCATTATAGACATAGCAACCGATTTACTGATAACTCAATCGATGTTGGTCCTAATCTGAGAGGATTTGATTTTTTATAATACACAGCTGGTAGCAGGTCACTAGTTTTGAAATCAGTCACTTTATAGTAACGCTTAGCTTAGCTTAGACTGACTGCACTTATCAAATGATTGCTACTCCGTGATTAATCAGAACCAGTGAACAGAACTGAATGGGGTTGGGAGTGACTTTCCAATATCATTGTACAAGTTTCAGTAGCTCAAAATTTTAAAGATCAATAACGGCGTCGGCCACGTCCTCGCAATTAGGTGGGAATATGGAAGGAATATTAGAGCGACCTTTGTTTTGGGGACCTCTGCTAACCTCTGCGTCCCCACAAGGTCACAGGAGGGGTATTTTGTTTGTATGTTGGGTTATGAGTCGACCCTATTAATTCAGTAATGTAAAGTGGCTTGGGTGCTAACGCACGATCTGTCGCCGACGTGTCTGTGTTTGATTGGCGATGATCGGTTTCTGTACGTGACCATTATCCGGTGGGACTTGGCCAAGTGGGAACGGTTGGCGGTGACAAAGGCAGAAATCAATTCTCACAAACACCTTCTCGAAAATCTTACGATCCAATAACAGAGGGATTTTCAAACATTATAATTTATTTTCAAATTTAGGTGAAAATTCACCAATGGAACACAGCCTTAGGTTGCGTTCCATTTGGTGAATTTTCACTTAAAATTGACACTTGGAAAATAAATTACACTGTTCGAAAATGCCTCTGTTGTAGTTTGAGGCTGTGAACCATTTGTCGTGTTAAATTTAACACGTAGTTAAAAGTGACATTTCGAAAGTTATTTTCTATGTTCGAAAATCCCCGTGTTATCTATCGACCGATGTTCGAGAAGAACTAAACCACGGTTATCCAAACCTAGGGGGTCGACACATCTCAATTTAAGATGCTCAACAAATTCACAGTGTATTTCTTGTATTCTCTCCGCAGAATCATTTCATATAAGTCAACGTGTTTCTTGTTATCGAGTCACGATGAACATTCCTCTTTTCAAACATGACTGAACTTCGTTGTTTCGATCGTCGAGTGCTTCAGTTCATTTCATTTGAAGCAAAGACTTGTTTCAATTGACGCAATGAATGACTAGAAAACTGCTTCCTTCGTTTTTTTCACTTTCACTTCAATTAGGGGCTCATTCGACTTGTCACGACCTAACGACGCAGGCATCAAAATATAGTATCCGGATGGTATCCGTTTGGATAGCATCCGGATTATATGTAGTAATAATATATTATTTTATATTAAACGAAAATCAAATTAACGAGGCCATTCTGGACTCCAAGATGTGGTACCCACAATGTGGGTATTTTCGGGACGAGGACGATACGAAGGTGCGGAAAATCGATAATCGACGTTATGTTGGAACGGGGATGCCACGAAGATACCAAAAATCGATATCCGACGCTATGTTGGAATCTAATATGGCGGCCATAAGGATTCAGACAGTGTCAAATATCCTTCAATATGTAGATGCCGAAAATCGATATTCGACGCCATTTTGGAATCCAAGATAGTGGCCATCAAATTTCATAAAAAGTGTCAAATACCCTGAGAAATTAGCGGCGCCGGTGGTGTATTGGTAAGCGTGATTAACTGTCACCCCAGCAGGCCTGCGTTCAATCCCAGTTGGCGCTGCCGGGATAGGGGTTCAGAAAAAGTGTCAAATACCCTACAATATGGTTATTTGCAGAACAGAGACAACGCGTAGATACCGAAAATCGATATCAGATACCACTTTGGAATGCAATATTGCGGCCATAATTGTTCAGAACGTGTTTAATACCCTACAATATGGGTATTTTCGGAATGGGGACAACGTGTAGAAGCCAAAAATCGATATTTGATGGCATTTTGGAATTCAATATGGCGGCCATCCAGTTTCACAAAAAGTGTCAAATACCCTAAGATCTGGGTATTTTCGGAAAGGGGACCAAGCTGAAAATCGATATTGGATGCCATTTGTAGGCTATTTTACAAATCTTCTGAAATTGGAAGCTACCATCTTGAATTTCATGATGGCGTCGCACATCGATTTCTGGCTTCTAGATGTCTGCCCGATTCCAAAAAACTCACATTGATCGGTATTTGACAGTATTTCACATCAATTTTCGGTATATACGTCTCATCCCCATACTGAAAATACCCATATTTTAAGGTATTTGACACTTTTCCGCAAATCGGAAGCCGCCGTCTTGGATTACAAAATAGCGTCGGATATCGATTTCCAGCTTCTAGACGTTGCCCTGATTCTAAAAAAAAAAAACGTTTGTACGGGTATTTGATAGAATTTACAACTTTTTCTCAAACCGCGATTCCAAAAATACCTATATTGATGAGTATTTGACAATATTTCCCACTTGTTCTGAAATCGGAAGCCGCCATCTTGAATTTAAAACTGGCGTCGGATATCGATTTTTATCCTCTATAGATCATCCCAATTCCAAAAATACCTTTATTGATAAGTATTTGACAGCATTTCCCACTTTTTCTTAAACTGGAAGCCGCCATCTTGGATTTAAAAATAGCGTAGCATATCAATTTTCGATCTCTAAACGTCACCCCGATTAAAAAAAAGTAGAAGGGTCTGTTCCTAGGGGCACGAACGGAAGCTTGACGTAGGACCGCTAGTGGACGGAATAAATGTGAAGAGCATTTAGTTCTTTTAATTGATCAATCATCAATTATCTTAACTCCTTCCGTTTTTTATTTGTAAGCGTATCAAATTTGTAGTATTTATTTCAAAGAGAAAGTTGATGAAGAGAGTCCAAGGGACTGTCAACTTGAGTATTTTCGATTCATCTACCCGGCTTTAAAAGGTGTATTTTGATTTTTTTTTTTGTTTGTTTTGTCTTGTGTATTTTGGTATTAAAGTGTATTCAATTCACCCCTCACAGGATTTCCTTCAGATCGTATCGTTTGTGCAGAATATGTAAAAAAGGAGGGACTTCGAGAGATTGAATTCGTGAGAGCTAATTTTCTCACAAATTTGATTTTATTGGCTTTCTGGGGACTGAATATACACCCAAAGCGAATTATTCCCACTTCTCTCAAATTCTATATGGATTTTTAACACTTCCTACCAGCGTGTTCTGAAAAATGGTCGGACGATGATTAATCTCACCAATACATTCGGGCCTACAACTCCACACCTTCTATAGAGACCAGGTTGAGCCTTGATAGCTAGCTGCTAGCGGGAACTGATGACCTTGACAAATGTCCAAATAATACTCTTAACAAATTTATGGTGGTCCTGAAAAGGACCATTTTGTAGTGATGGTTGAGTAATGCTGAGCTGAGCACGACGAGCTACTGATTCCGGTCCTAGCCTAGCTGTGGGATTTCTTCCTACTTCTCTATGGTTACTCATATGAGCTCTGCAGCTCGCTGCTTGAAGGCAGCCTTTCGTTGTTGTTGTTGTTGTTGAAAGCACTCCTGCTGCTGCTGCTGGACTGGACACCACTACTTACGGTGATTGAATGAGCACCGTTCAGTGGGACCTCATCGAATTCGATTTTTAAGTCTGTGTTAGGGAATGCGCTGTTTTCAGACATTCGGTGATAATTTTGATCACCATTGCAACAGTTGGACATTTGGTATTTTTCAATAATGACCTATTGAAAATTAACTAAGTGTTCATTTTAGCAGATTGGTAGATACATTTCCAATCGTTTGGCTTGTTTAGAATTAAAATCTATCTGCTATTGGTCGAAACCTGACCTCTTTTCGTAATGCTGTACATTTTGGTTTTTTTTAAATTGCGTGGATTCTATAGATCCTGTGGAGATCTATCTTGGCCTGATGTATGTGTTGGTAGAGGGAAAAATGTAAGCTTTGCGGCAGACGATGTCTTAACACTCGAAAGTAATTTTGTGGAATATTAAGTAAAACAAGTCCTTGCTAGCTCTGCTTGATGATTTTGTTTGATTTTATATATTTGTAAAGGCGCCGGGAAATACCAGCTGGCGATTTATTTTTTGTGATAACTCCCTACTTGAAAACAGGCAAAAACTCACAAACAGGCTGCTTTTTCATGGTATACAGTGTGATAATTCAATAATCAATCAATTATCTCAACATTTAGTGGCAAACCATTCATAAATTTTGGTAACATACAAAAAATTCTATAATACACATTAAATTTCATATGTAAGCGCCGATTGAAACAATCTTTTCGATGTCACTACAAGGGTGACTGAATCGTGCGGAATGAAAGCCGAGGAAAAACTAATTGCACCAATATATTCAGGCCTACAATTCCACACCTTCTATAGACAGGTTGCGCCTTGATAGCTAGCTGCTTGCGGGAACTGATGACCTTGACCAATGTCCAAATAATACTTTTTAACAATTTTTTGGTGGCCCTGAAAAGGACCGTTTTGTAGTGATGGTTGAGTAATTCTGAGCTGGGTGTTCAACACGGATGAGGCTGTCGAGCTGGATGTCGTTTGGAGCGAGGGTGACACGCTTGGCATAGATGACCGACCCGTAGCGACTCACGAAGAGCTACTGATTCCGATCCATAGCATAGCGGTGCAGCTTCTTCCTCCTTTGATGGTTGCTTATGTGGGCTCTGCAGCTCGTTGCTTGCAGTCAGCCTTTCGTTGTTACTGGAGAACAATTTTCAACGCCACACGCCGAAAGCACTGCTACTGCTGCTACTAATTTCGACGACCGAACACCACCACACAGTGGTGTGGTCGTTGGGAGCGTGTGGTTCTGAGTATGGCGATGAGTGTGCAAAATATTACGCAATTTCATCCTCCCTATTTGCACGCGCCCGAGGATCGGAGGTGAATGCCACTTCGACTTGTTTCGTCTACTTACTACTCTCTGACGACTGGGCTGGGGAAGCAGCATATGCAAACATGGCATGTAATATTAAGTGCTCCAAGACTGAAAAGTTCGTTGCTCGACGAAAAGTACGTTTGATTGAGCTATATTTCGCGTCTGTTATGACTCAAATTTATGTCAAAATTGACGCTCGTATATGTCACTCTCAGAGCACCTAAATTTACATGAATTTTTCTAAGTGTGTAGGTAATTGGTGGATTTGTTAGTTAATTCGACGCTTTTGAACAATGCTGGACATTTAACAGTTTTTCAATAGTTTCTTGTTGAAAATCAATATTCGGAGAGATTTTTTTTCGATGCGTAGTCATATTTCTGATCGATTGGTGATAAAATTATTGAAATTGGACCAGGGGCAGCTGAGTTATTAACGTTCAAAATCTTTCTTAATTTGTTACATGTTCCATTTTCGGTTTTCACAAAGTGTACCCCCATATAGAAATCATAGACGTAGTCCTACGTCAAAAAAGTTGTTGAATATTACATCCAAACTGCTGCACATTGGTCATTCCGCGGGGTCACTTGCAACACTTTTCAGGTTTCTCTCTTCATAACTTTTCAAAAACAATTTTTGTTTGTTTTAGTACTATGCGATAGTTTTAATGAGTGTTCATACTCGAAAATAAAAACATGCATTTTGTAATTTAGGAACTGTTCATAAACTACGTAGACCGTTTAGGGGGGGGGATGTTGGCAGTTATCACGACCCATACAAATTTAAAAATTTTTGTATGGACGATTGTCTACGCAGGGAGAGGGGGGGGGGGCGTCAAGCATCCCAAAAACTTGTCTACGTAGTTAATGGACAGTCCCTTACTAGAAAATATCAAAACGATGGGTGTTGCTAGTCACCTCTCCTGCGGGGTGACTTGTAACACTTTTGTTAGTTTAATGAAAACAGAACTTTAAAACAAATCCTGCATCATCTGTTAGGTTAGTTTCATCGTAGTTAATGATGAATTCAGCCTTCACATCCTTGATAGACTCCTTCAAGTTTCCAAAATAGTTGGAAATGGTTTCTTTTGAAACTGTTCCTTTTCCTTTATTTAACGTCGGTCTCTGTTCCGCAATCTAGTGCCAATCACCGACGGACATCGATTACCATCCATTGACGGCAATCGAATGTGCAGGAAGGCAGCTTCCACACCTGCGTAGGATATCGCACCCATTCAACACACATATCCCCTTATTCTGCGAGTCACGTGACTCTCTGTCACCGGTGAGGTGACAATTGTCACCTCGTGTGAGGTGATTCTCCATGTAAATCAAATGGAGACTCACCTCACACGAGGTGACTATTGTCACCTTACCGGTGAGAGAGAGTCACGTGACTCGCAGAATAGGGGGGATACACTTTACTTCCCTTCCGAAGGAAGACGTGACCCGAGATTTTTATGCCTCAGAAAAATCCCACCGACCTCGGCTGGGATTGAACCCAGACCCATTGGGGTGAGAAAGCAGTCACGCTTACCACTACACCACCGGCGCCGGCTACTTTTGAAACAGTTGCACAGGACCTTTTAATATTTTCCGACAATCGGTTTGACAGCACTGTGTGCCGTTTCAAAAAAGATATACACCAGTCATTTCCAGGGCAGTTGTTTTTAAAACGGTTCTCCTTATTTCAATTGAAGATCATTCATTTGGAAAGGCATTCCCCACTCCACTGCAAGCAACAAACCATCTTCCAGCATCTGCTCTTCTGTCCATCGTAAGCGTTCTTTTCAATGCCTTCCTTTTTCAAGCAACGCGAAATCGTTGAACGACCCCTAATAAGCAATAAGGCTGTCCACGAGACCGTTGCGATCAGCTGACTTTTTTGTTTACCAAGAACTTTTGACAGATCACAGTAGAACCAACAGTCAATACAAAACTATCGATTTTAAATTGGCTCACTACTTGACTAGCCTATTGGTCCCAAGCAAATCGATTAACGTACCCCATTCTAGTCAACATTCTAGTACTACACTATGTTTGTTTTGATTCGCTATAAAAGTTTGACAGATAAAATGAGGGGTTATTGGATTTTCCTATGTTTCGAGGGGTGCATCGATTAGCTTGGGCCCGAAGAGAGTACCAGAGCTGAGCCAAAAAGTTGAGCACGTTTTTTCGGGACCTACTACCACAGAGAACAGACGTTCAAGTTCGGTCAGAAACTTGTGTAAAATAAGTGGGAACGTCGTCGTTACGTGGTGTTGGCATCTTCTGATTTTCTCTATAAATTTTCCACTTTCGACCAATTTGGCGCTAGTATCGATAAATTTTCTGTTGAAAATTGCCACTTGGCGCTACTAGCACTTAGTGTCTAGTGTAATTTGTGCAACTCCAGTGCCATCATGTTGTCAAAGAGGGTTTTTAAGTGGGGAAGTCGCCGTTAGTGGCGCTTAAGTCGAATAGGAATCTTTACACAAGTTTTTAGAGAAATTTTATTCGAGCCTCCATGTCTGTTCTCTGTGCTACTATATAGTATTAGAGTTACCTCTATGGTCCTAGTGTGCATGCAAAATACGCTTGACGATATTTTTGAAGATTTTCCTTCTGAGAGTTATGTATGTTTGTCTGTCATATTAGGTTTGTTCCCGTACTTGCTTGTGCTGAAAATTGCTGTCAGAAAATAATACAGGAATCACAAACCGAACATTAGATTTTGACAGTTTATATCGTTAGATTACATTAAAACTAAACCATTCTCTTTCCCTTCGAATTTCATTGCAGATTCTGCAGCACGCGGCTCCCCATCCCCCCAAGTAGTGAACGTGTTAAGCATTATTATATTCGGTTTAACATAATAAGTAAACTCTAAATTTAGTCATGTAATTTAGAAATAATATAACGAAAATGAAGTTGAAGAAGAATAAGAAGAAGAAAGGCAAATCAGAAAAATGAATTCTATTGTACTGTAACAATAAAATCAGAGCGGAGATGAAAACACACACAATAACAAACAGAAAAACATACCGATAATGAAAAAAATAAGATCAATAATTCAACAATGCTACTAATTATAATCGAACGCGAGCAAATCATCACATTTAGTAAACAACCAACCAACCAACCATCATGCGATGAATCATATTCAATCAGAACATGGCGTACTAGAAACTAATCAAAAGAATCGATCAACAGAAGAGAAAACAAAACACAGTAATCGCAATATTGATATTTGAAAAAAAAAATGTGTGTGTGTTTGCAGTTGTCCACGCAAACAAAAAAAGAAATTGTGATTGGGAGGAATGATGATGAGCAGTCTCCGCACGAAATCGGTTCAGAACGACGACGAAAATAAGGGTGAATGATTGCGAAAAGTTAGACGGCAGAGAACGGTTTTATAGCTCCCCGCTTAAGCGCTCGACTAAGTTGGAGAGGCGCAACCTTTTATTCGACTTTATAGAGCTCTGAATCTATATTTTCGAGAGGATGAAAGCGCACTGCGCCGCTTGATTGATGAATTAATTTTAAAAGAGTCAGGAAATTTGAACATTTTTGTTTTTTAATTAATTATTTTGATTGTTTGGTTCTTCCCAGAAGCAAGGTGAGGAAAATTCAATTTCGAGTTCAAGAGTGAAGTTAAAACGTTTTTAGATTGTAGAATCAAGCCTGAAAATCGAAGTGATTCGAAACATTACAAGTAGAAAGAAAATGTGTTTAAACTGCAAGAATAACAAAAATGCTCGTGATTGTTGGTTTCACTGAATCTTTTCTATAAAATTTTAATTTCGAGAAAAATAACAAAAAAACAAAAATAAATCTTCTTAGTGGTTAGAAGCGAGTGAGAGGTGAAATGATTGCAATATCTCATTGATAGGAGGAAGAGAAATAGCGTTCAGTTTAATTAGGAAAAACGAAAAACAAAACATTGGTCCCATGAGAATCTATTTATGCACATTTAAGTCGCTTCACGTATGTTAGTAGAAGTTAATGAAGAAGAAGAAAAGTTGATAACGATGGAACGAATGAAGCAAAACAAACCAGCAAAGTTCAACGGAACCATTGTTTATCAATATACATATATATTTTTAGTTCAAGAGTTTTATTTTTAATATACACCCAAAAAAAATCAACAACAAAACAAATAGATGGCGTCCTTAGGTTTTAATTTGTGGATTTTCTAAAACATTTTTTTAATGATGATGAAAATTGTGCAAAGGACAGCCCAGTGGGGCGAATCTTATTATTTATGATGTTTTCTATTTGCGATTGTTTCTTCCCTTGTCATTGTGTGGTTCGTGATGATTTTTGTACTTTTTTTTTGGGAAAGCGCGTGGAGCAAAGATCGACAGGATTTGGTGAATCTTGGTAAGAAAATTTAAAGATGCGTTGCAAGAAAGTGGAAGACGAACGTGTTAATGTGAAAGAAAGAAAAAAAAACACGACATAGAAGACGGAAGGTAACGGAAAGTGAAGAATTAACCCTTGTGGATTGAATAATGTGGATTATGTATTTTACTGAATAAAATTTTAAGCAAACCGATTTGGGATTTAACGATAGCAAGAAAAAAAAAATTACCCAACGCTAGATTTTGTATCAATTTGAAAGAAATCCTAAAGATGGCAATTTTTGTTCGTCCCGTAGTGAAATGGGTTCCTTAATTTTGGAAAATATATCGATTATTATACATCACATGATCTGTATTCTGAGCCCGAAGATAATTCCTTTCGATTCCATAGACCGGAATGTCCATTTAAGAATCAAGATTTAAAGCAAAATAATAACTTCACTGTTGGACACTAGACTAACAAACTGACAGCTCACTCCCATACAAAGTCTTACCGAGGATTGCTAAGGTGGCTATTTTTGCTAATGTAATCACCCTTATTTAAAATAGTTCCAGGCTCTTATTACGAGTGTCACTTCACGGTGACCACTTAGTGATAGCCGCAAGGGGTAATCAACTATGCACATTGTGCCGAAACACATCGTGGCACACTGATCGGCGGGTCATGGCACACGATGACAAGTATGACACTAAAGATAATATAAAATGGCATCACTGTTTTGTGTTGACATTTTGCCAATCGTTGCTAAGGTTTACTTCTTCGTTTACTTCAAATTAAGGGGAAAGGGACTTTTTTTTGTCAGTGCCATTTTCCAACGAAATTGTCCCCAATCATAATAAGAGATTGTATAATTGACGAGACGCTCTTTGTATCTCTGCCTTCGGGGGGTGAAACTCTACAGAAAGTCCACACGGCTTTTGAGAGATGTCCATAGTTTCAGGGAAGTCCAAACGAACTAGTGAGAGTCACCACGCCCCGTAGCTAAGGATCCGGACCGAGAGTCAATTGTATGGGCAAGGAGCATTGCAGCGATAATGTATGGTGTCAAACAACCCCTCGTTTCTACCATTCTTCAGATTTATCTGCAATCGCAACTATTTCTCCCGCAGAACACCCCGGTACGATTGAAGTAAGCAGTACAGCTCATGCTATGGATTGAACTCGGATTCGATTGACTGTGGAGGTTTCTACGCTCTTTCGCAACTGTTCGTATCACCGACGGCAACAGCAAAATTAAGAAAGATGCTGCTAAGTGCTAACAGAATTGTGAATGTAACCACACCGGAGCACAGTGGTTTGAATGCTCAATATCACGAACTTTTTTATTTGAGCCTTCAATGTCGGTTTTTTTACTATGATGTCTTTAAAAGAGTTTTTGTATAAAATAAGGCGCAAAGACTAGTGATAAGTTTTAGTAGGGAACTCCACCACAGGCAGCGCTGAAAAATCTAACTTTTTACGTTTACAAGATAGGTATGTGGTGTCTTGAGCAAAGTTGTAGATAATTTACTTCAAAAATCTTCTTTAGTTTTTTAGATAAGTAGCGTTTTATATGACTGTTCAACAAAATTTAGTTTTTTTTTTCAGTTTTTATAACATATTTCAAAAACTATAGGTTTTAGAAGACTATAATGTTCCACAAATATTTGTATTTCATCGACGTCCAAAAGGTATCGATTACACAGGCTGAGTTATTCACGAATTTAGTAAAAAAAATACATATTTTGTGCCCTCACAGACAAAAATCCGGCAAAATCCGGCAGATGAATCTTAAATAGGATGAAAGCTTGTTCAAAAGTGATCTCAATTTCCATTGAAACATTTGTTTCTTTTAGTATCCTCGTTGATTATTTTGCATTTCAAAAAGGTCTTGACCACGACATCAGAGTAATTGCCATAATACTCATCACAGTAGTCTACTTGAAAGTAATATATAATTTTGAGTTAGCTATTATTATAGTATAATTAAATGATTCATATAACGTTATATTACGTTATACATTATTGTATGTACACAGCAAAAAAAAATGTAATATCGATCAACGTAATTCAAGCTGATGTATGAAATAATGATGTAATAGCAAAAAGCAGATACAATATTACATCAATGGATGTAATTTTGTTCGCAAAATCGATGTACATCGTACAATGTGATATTACACAACCGATGGATTGACCTGGTTGCAGCAGTTTCGATGTAATATTCAACAACTTTTTTTGCTGTGTATGTATATATAAATATTTTAAAAATATAAACAAATGTTACACAATATTGTTATCAAACACATTTTCATCTTTCTCTTCCACATCAAGCATGTATTTCGCATCGCTACAGAGGTTTAATCGGCTTGTCTCGAGATGCTCTAAGGCTGCTGATGAGTGGATCATACGGTTCCAAGAGACGGTGCAGTAGATCTGTGTTTACTGCTGTTTTTGAAATTTTTCTAGTGTGGTCCGATCTATATCTATGAAAATAATAATTATTAACACTGATATTCTTTATCAAATTCATCGTACCTTTTGAGGTCCTTCTTACGGCCTTCTTGTGCTTCCTCAGATAGCTGTCCAATAGGTACAAAAAAATGTTGTATAACCCTCGATCCATGAATAAGCACCTTGTGGACCGTTACTGGCATGTCGCACCACGGATATTTTGATGTGAGCAGTCTAGCCGTCTCTAAACAGTACTTCTCAAACTTATGTACATGCACCTGCATCCCCGATGACATTACTGACAGTATTGCCCCACATCGTTTTATTAAAACTTCGTCGAGTCCAGTAATTTTAGCAGCTTTTTCAGAGTTTTGGAAAAATCTTCTAGCCGTGTTGCCATCGTTCGAGTTACCTGTCAAAAATGAGTGCCGTATAAGACGTTGAAAAGAAATAATTTAAATAATTTCATGATTTACCTGCTCCTCCAGAACGTGGTTTATCAACCAGTAGTCCCATTTCGACTTTAAATTTCTGCTGAATGAGTTTCTTTCTTTGTTTTACCGATTCTACTGCATCTCCACGAACTTGCCATTTTTTAACTTCAAGTTTGTACGATAGCTGTAAGAAGTATTCGAAAAATCGTATCCAAGCATGAAGTGTGCATAAACCATATTGGCACCGGTCATTGTCCACAGCTCTTGTTCTTACACGGTCAATCTCGTTCATTTGCTTGGGAGTTGCACCGCACAGATAGCAAGTTTGTGAAGGAATTTATAGCTTTGCCGTCGAGCATAGTTAATAGCATGTTGCAGGAAATTTTCAGCGTCCGCCCTTTTTTTAATGACGATGGGTTGCATCTTGTCGATTTGGTTATCGATGTACTCCTTTTCGAACAACGTAACTTCAGTCGTTTCAGAAACATACTGTATTCGCAGTGGTCGACAATACCGAGTTGAGGAGGGACGTGTGTTCTGGAAAAAAATGTTCCCAATTGATTCCAGTTTGATCGGCACAATGGATGTTACAAACATATTTGCATCGGATTTAGTTCCGTCATCATCGCCAAATGCTTGCTTGTGTTCGCTTAATCCAGTTGTGCCATCAAATCCCCACTTAATCGTTAAAGACATTTTGTCCAATTCGTCGTCACTAAACTTTTCCAGCATACACGCATTCGCATCAACAATCCTCATTGCCGTGTGCTCCAAGAGATCCTTTAGTTTCACTTCTGCAGACGTTTCCGAAACTACTAACCCTGTATTGGGATAACAGCACTTTTTAGGTTGCAGCACTTTGTAGTAGGACGGATACAAAGGCACATTCCGATCCAGAGCTCCATTACGAAGCTTTTCGTATTGGTCTTTTGATAAATTAAGATTCAATTTTAACGCAAGAGCTTCCGACTCCCAGCCATTTTTGGATGATTGCATAGCCGAAACCATTTTCACGGCTCTTGTCGGAGTTGTTTGCGTTGCCTGTTTAACAATGAACGCTGCATCTTCTTTACCATCCTCACGTAATTTCATTTGGGTTGCAAATGCAAGTTCATCTGTTGGGTAGTTAGACCGCATTGCAGACGTCTTGCGTCTCTTAACAACCTCGCTACTTTCTTCGAACGCCAAAAATTTTCTTCCACGGCGGGAAGATCCAGAAGTACAAGGAAAACGATCAACAACTTTCTGTGGTAGTTTGAAGGGGTTATCGAAATAAGCACGACTGCTTTCAAGCATGTATGACATGGTCCGGTTGTGGTTTTCCCACAGTTTTTTTTTTAAATATTTGCATGTCGCCTTCACAAAATTATTGACTATTGACACCAAATGTACTAGAATGTTTTGGTTCTATCTCTTTCACTCTACTCAAAACTGAAATGCATAAAAAAATGACAAAATGATACGCACTCTTTGCACACTGTCAAAGAATCATTGTACACAAAATCAACTTTGTTCAAATCAAAACAAAAAAACTAACCCATCTGGTGGATGATGGCACAAGCTTCCAAGAAAATTCTATTACAGTGAACCACATTATTTAAATGGATTTCTTCGCCAGTTAGTCGTCTGTCACTTCGTTTGTGGTAGTAGTGTTGCCATGTGGTACAATCAACAATCAATACGAAACTAACGATTTTAAATTGGCTCACCACTTTAGTAGCCTATTGGTCCCAAGCAAACGATTAACGTATCCTATTCTAGTTGAAATTCTATTACTACACTATGTTTGTTTTGATTCGCTATGAAAGTTTGACAGATAACATCAGGGGTGTGTGGATTCATGCAAAACATGCAGGGGTGAGTGAAATAGCTTGGGACTGCTTGGGACCGTTGTTCTGGTACTGAGTGAGCCAAAAACCTCCATGCTAGTACTGACTAACACGGTAATTTTTGACAGTTCAGAGATTCTGCGATTTACGGAGTTTTCAGCAAAACCAAAAACTACTGGGTTGATTACTGAAAACTCAGCTGTTTAAAAACCCAGTAAAATTTTACCGACTTCGGTAATCTAAACTCTGTGTGTTCCAGTTGGCGTAGAGACGTTTTATTCGTCGGTAGAAGGAATCATTACCATAGAGGTAACTCTAAGACTAGAAGGTCCCGAAATAACGTGCTCAACTTTTTGACTCAGCTCTGGTACTCTCTTCGGTCCCAAGCTAATCGATTCACCCCTCGAAACATAGTACTGCGGAGTAAATCGAATTCATTTTGCAAGCCAATGGAAAACTGCTTGAAAATTTGTTCAAGTTTAAAATTGCTCTGAGAC